TGACGCTAATTTGTCGAGACTAGCGCTGAGAAACTTGTACGAATCGATAAACCGTAATTTGATATAATTTTTCGAATTATTATCTTGTGTCAATCTAACAGTCTTCGAGAATGAAATGTATTTTTCCTTTGTTATCGGCAGTAATTCGATTTCCCCTTCGAACGCTGTGGCTATGTCCTCGATAATAAAATGTGCGTCGTAGCCGGACAGATTGTGAAAGACTATAGGGATACAAAATGATTCTTTGTAATTTAAGTTACAATTTGAATGCGCAGGACCCCTGTACCGCCCGGTGAGGTGGCAATGATCGCGGACGCGTGTATCGTCTTCGTCAAACGGTTTTTCACAAATGTGACAATGCGTCGCGGTGCGAAATTTTAACCACTCGTCAGGCGTTAAATTTATCATGGGGACATTGGTCGTTAAAATATTTTTTACGCGGATTGCTAAATTTTTAAGCTGTTCGGCGAACCATGCGACGCAATCGACACTACGGCGGGAATTGTATGCGCATAACGAACTGTCGTACGAACACTGTACATAGTACGCGATGCTGAACACTTGATGGTGTTGATAATTTTTGGCATCTTCGGTCTTTGCTAAAACACACTCGAGGTCTGCGTACACCACAAACGGAAGCCGCTCCTTCCTCGTGTAGTTGTCGAAGCTGAGCCACTTGTCATTCTCGCTCGGCAGCCGGATAACGCAGTTGTTCAGTTTCCCGCAATCTTCCATATGCGCCTGCAATTTATCCACCGCTCCGAAATAATGTAGGCATCTGTAAAAAATAAAAAATTTAATGAAAATTTAATTAAAATATAATTTAAGTTTAATATATACTTACCGATCGCAGATATATTTTTTATGAGCTTTTTTGCTCAGTTGTGAGCTGACGAGGCGAGACAGATTTTTTATACACGCGAAATGTCCAACGCTGTTTTCGTCCTCCACGTACAGCAGATTGACGTGCCTGTCCTTCTTTTTTTCCGAAAGACGCAACGGGACGATGTTCTCGTTCTCGATGATGTACACGTTTACGGAGATGTCGTTTGCAAGTTCGAATTTTTTAATTTGATTCACAGTCACTGGAAACTCAATGTTTTGGAGATTCAGCACTGTGGTGTAATGCGGATAGGAGGATTCTTGTTCCACATGTCTTTCAGCGGGGTACAGAACGGCCACCACCGACCATGCGAAACACGCATTGTCCGCTGATCGCACATTAACAACCGCTCTCTTTGCCATAATTTTTTGCGGTAATTTGACATGGCACCCTGCGCGCATTGAATTGTACTTATTTACATTCACTGTCAAATCTATTATCCGCGACAATGCCCAGCCGCTATCGCGTTCCTGGAACTTTTCTAGCGATGCTAGCGTGGGCTCGATTACGCGGCGCTCGTACCACTCGTGTACATCGGACGTGCGAAAGAGTTCAAAGTTTCTCGTGTTAATACTTTTATTGGCACGCTTGTCACTGGACACAAATTCACCGTTGAAAACAGTGTTCACTTTTACACTGATGTGTCTCTGCAGCACATTCTCCACGTTCTCGACTACAATGTCTGCGGCATTTTCCAAAAACTGACGCGGTTCGATGTGGTCTGCGTTAATTATCGCACCGGACAGTATACGGCTATCGAACGCCGTATCGATTTCGCGCCAAACGAGTCTTTGCGCGTTATTGCCGCCGCCACTGAATCCGCCGCCACTAGGCATGGATTCACCGACATGCCGTCTCTGCAAGCGCACCTTTGCACCCTCGAGTCGCGCTATTCTCGCCACCAGAGATTGTCTATGTCCAATCGAGAGACGCGGACGCTTGGCACGGCTGCGTTCTTCCAGCTCTTCGATAAATTCTTCGCACTCTTGCAGCCATCCGAAATATTCGCCCAAGTTAACAACTTGGCGAGAACGCTCTAACAGGTCGCGCTCAACGTTCTCCATTTTTGTAAAAAATTCACTTTTTTACACTTATTACAAAAAAACTTCTTTGCACACTAAACTTTTTTTTCTTGCACCTCGAATGAAGCGTGCGCTCGCCAGTGGTACTATGGCCCGGCAGCTGCATCGGTCCTCATTATATATCCCGATCATCCCTTTGTTCGTGGGATGATGATGCAATTGTTAATTTGCGAGAAATATTTGTGCGATATCTACCCGCTGATAATTCTTAGAAATACATAGATAAGGCCGCCCGTTACCTTTCTGTTGTAAATTTCACCCCGTCGGATCGGATTGACACGTCAGATCCTGCGCAAACATGTCGCAACCTGTATGGATCATGTATCAACCCGCTTGATTGTCGGCAAACCTTTTGTTCTTAATAATTCGCAGAATTATCTTATCTTATCTTGGATTTTCGGAGAAAATTTAGATATCGCTGTAATAGATATCGTTGTAATAGATATCTTATCTTGGATTTTCAGAGAAAACTTAGATATCCAATTGTCGGCGCTCAGCCTGGATTAAGAAACGGCGGCAGCCATTCGTAGAATTTTTATCTTATCTTATCTTGTTTATGAAAACTTAGATATCGCTCAAAGACGCCGCTTATCTTATCTTGTTTATGAAAACTTAGATATCGCTCAAAGACGCCGCTTATCTTATCTTATCTTGTTTTTCAGGTAACATGATCCCCTTATCTTATCTTGTTTATAAACATATCAGGTAACATGATCCCCTTATCAGGTAATATGATCCCCTTATCAGGTAATCTGATATGTTTATAAACAAAAGATAAACTTATCTACTGATAAGACCCCCTCCCCCGCGTAACGTCACCCCCCTCTCGCCCCCGATTCCCCCCCGCCCCTCACCCCCCCTCATTGCCCCCGGGTTAGAACCGGCCTAGTATACCTATTAGAAACAAATAAAATGTCTCGATGAACAACGGTTACAAGTTGTAGATAAAAGAACACGAGAAACAGTTCCACAACAAATAAGGCGACTTAAAGAACGACAGCGTTCAGTTCGCAATAGAACACAATCTCAGAATTGTTGAACGGAGAAAGAAGTGAAAGAAGGAAAGGCGGAGAAGAGAGGATGGTGGGATGAAGAATGTAGAGAAGAAAAAAGGGAGATAAAGGGGGAGCTGAGGAGGTAAAGGAGAGAAGGGGGAGAAGGAGAGGAGTACAGAAGAAGAAGAGGAGAATATGAGAAGCTATGTGAGAGAAAGAAAAGAGAGGAGAATGAGAGGTAGAAAAAAAGCGGCGGAAGTAAAAAGAGAAAAAGAGGTGTGGGAAATAGTGAACAAGAAAAGGAGGAAGAAGAAGGGAATAAATGAGGAGATTGAGATGGAAGAGTGGAGAGGATTTTTTATGAAGCTATTAGGAGGAGTAGAGAAGAGAGTGGTAAGAAAATTGAGAGAAGAGGAGGGGGAAAGGGAAGAAGAAGAGAGAGAAGAAAAAGAAATAAGGAGAAAAGAGTAGAGAAAAGCAATAAAAAAATTAAAAAAAGTTATTTTATGTATATTCTCAAATCACACGCTCCTGAGGCGCCAGCGGGTTGTAGACGATGCGCGACAAGGGGAGTTGCTAGGCGGAGTCAGCTGAAAATCGGCCAAGTTTTATATAGGCTACTATATGAGGACCATGCTTTCCGCGGTTTGATTAAAAAGGCTTTGAGGACCACACAAAGCGCGGTCCGAAACGCTAGTTGTTAATCATTTTGTAATTAATTACAAACGCAGATTAAAACCTTTTGGAGGGTACTCAGGGTCATGACCTTGACAACATATGTCAAGGTCAAGATAATCGGAGGTAGCTCCTTTAAGATGCACAATTACCACAAATAATTATTAAAACAAATGTTTATTACTTATAATTGAAAAATAAATTATTCTTTGTAAGAATTTTTAATGTACAAAGACTTATTAGATCTATTACACTTCATTTCAAAAATCACTTTACTACCAAAATGACACATTTACAAAAATGTTTATTGACAAAATTAGCTTGTTTTCATTTCCTTTATAACCACTTGAAGTTTGTCAATCTAATTTTGAGACCCTGTATGTATACAATATATGTATAAGGTATCCATAAAATCCCCATCTCTATATTTTCGAAACGGCTCAAAATTATTAAAAAACCACGAAATACATTTAACTGCGAAATATAGCGAATGGGCATATATTTTATAGACATCCTATATACATATGTGCGCGTGCACGCGTATGTGCCGCGGGTGTGTGAATGTGTGCATGCGTATTGCTTTTTTTACTACGTACACAAATATATTTATTATTCTTATTGCGTAGGTGAACGTGTTGATTTTATTTTAAGTGCAAATCAAACTTTGGGTTATTACTGGATACACGTACGAGGACTTGGAGAATGTGCAGAAAGAGAAATATATCAATTAGCAATTCTTGCATATGAAGGCAGTTCTGAATCATCATTATCATTATATCCAGGATATTTTTTCGGTACATCCAGAAATGTTGTAAGTATTGTATATAGAAAATTTTACAAAAAAAAGGTTCGTGAAAAAGTAAACGAGGTGAAAATTTCTATTCTCATTTTCATCCCAAAAACATTTAAAAAATTTTAAGGATTTTTGTTTCCGGAAAATAAAAAAAAATAGGCGTGGAAAAAGTGAAGGGATGCAAGTGTAAAAAAAGCGGTTGACTTTGTAAAACAAACAATGAACTTATTCTAATCTACCAATACAAGAAAAAACGTAACAAAAACGTAAATAATCTGATTTAGTGATTACGAAACGAGCGACTCCGAAATAATCGCGAAAGGCGATCGGCGTGTAAGTCTGCGTTCTGCGAGCGACAAAAAAGGCACGGTTAATTGTCCGAAAACGATTTGTGCATGTTTTGGTGAAAAACAAGAAATCTGGCGTGGACGCTTCGGGACCTTAAGCCGGGTATCTATCAACCGCGCAAGATGTTTGCAAATGTTTGTGAACGTCACAAACGCTTACAAAATTATATATTTTTATTATATTATATTATAGTAGGATCCGCGAAAAAGAATCGGGCCTTTGGGTGACTAGACCGGGACTCGAACCCGGAACCTTCCGCTTTCCGGGCGACTGCTCTAACCATTAAGCTACCTAGGCCCTCTGCCCAACCTTCTCCGCATCACCCACTTACGCGTTATAGAGGAGTCCCGATACTACATTATTATTATATTATTATAATATTATTATTAGTTTTACAAGCGCTCGTAACGTTCACAAACGTTCGCAAACGTTTTGCGCAGTTAGTGGATACTCTGGCTTTTTATTTAAAGGATTCTTTATTTTTGCCGCGCACGCGCACGACGTCTTGTCTCGATGTTTTGCCCCGGGAAAAACACGCGCGAACAGCTAATCGAAAGACCAGAAAAAAGGGAAGTCGTTGTCCTGCCTTCGCGCGCGTGTTTACGCCGGTCTACCTGATTATTTTCGAGTTGTCAAATTTTTATTTAGAATATTTACGAAACAATAAGCACTTAGCTCTATTAGCTATTAACCTATAACTTTGACACAACAACAAAGTTGACGAGGACAAAAATACAGCGCAAAGAACAACAAACGACCGTTCGCCGCACCGAATATTTTATAATGATAATCTTAAAAAATTTACATAATTTGCGAATGTATCGGCCGCTCTTGAACATGATAAAATACATGTATGAAAAAGTACAAGATTTCTGAAAGAAAATCTGAAAAAGTACATTTTCTAAACTATGTCACAGATTTTAAGAGCATACTTTAGAGGTAAAAATAAAAAACATTTTATATAAACATGGATCCAAAAATATTTTCCTTCCAAGTTGTATCCTTCTAAAATTGGGAGAATAAAAACGAAAAATGTATTAAAAATTTCAAAATTTTAACGATCTGCAAAAAAGTCTCCGAGAGCTACATTACATTTTTCGGTTTAAACTTCCTTCTACAATACATTTTTCGATATAATGTTTTTTAATATATATAATATATATATATAATATTAAACATATATAACATATATATATACATATATATATATATATATATATATTTAATGTTTTTTTTTAATCGGTCAACAGAGCCAAAGCACGAAAAATTAATTATTCGGAACTGTATCTTTTGGTTTGAGATCACTAAGTTCCATATATAAATTAATCTCGAAACTTACATATGGAAAAATAGGCGCGAAAAATATAGGTCCGAAAAGTCGCTGAAGCGGGAATCGAACCCGCGTCTTTCACTTTCCGGGCGACTGCTCTTACCAACTAAGCTATTCAGACCCTTTTTTTCTTTTTTGTCGCTGGGGAAACCATCATGGTACCGTACACTCCCGGGTAGGGGTGAGGGTTATGTAGGACTTCTTGTTCCCCTTAATCGAGCCACGAATGGTTCGACCAGGGGGCCCAAGACCTACCGCACTAAAACCCCAGCGGGTGTCCACCTCGGGCGTTGGATAGGGGACAGCGAGGATGCTGGAATCCCATGCCGTCTCGCCGCCCCCCCCGCCAAGCCATCTCCGGGGAGCTGCCTCAGCCTTGCGGCCAAGACCTCTCCCCGACCGCGCAGTCAATGACTGCGCGGTTTTGTCCCGGTTGCGGCGCAGGGCGACACAGACCCTACGCCGCACCCTCCCAAAGAGTTTGGGGGGCGGGGCCATGGCTCGAGAGCACCCGCTCGAGCCATCGCCCCCCGCCCCCACGGTGGTCGCGACCCCCAGATCCCCTAGAGGATGATCCGGTTTGGCGTTCCACTGGGGGAGCCTTCACCAGAGGGCTCCTCTCTGAAGGAGAGGAACCCTCTTCCGTGGACGGCGTTGCCCTCCCCCCGGGTGCCCCCTGGCTCCCGGTGAAAGAGCCCCACGCTTTACGTCCTCACAGAGGGGGACCCAGGCGCCCCGGCCGGACCGGCAGTGCCGGTCCGCCGGGGACGCGTGGCCCCCCTCGGCCCCCAAGCTATTCAGACCCTTTCGATCCTATATTTTTCATTTGCCTTTTAGTAGATGTTAGTAAATAACGCCGTGATTAGGCCAAGGCGTGAATAAAATCAGAAAGAAATATTTTTATCGGCTCTCAATATTAAGAATATAAATATGTTTTTTTCAAACCAAGAGATACAGTTTCGAATAATTAATTTTTCGTGCTTTGGCTCTGTTGGCCGATTTAAAAAAAAAAAAACATCATATTTATATTTTTAATATTGAGAACCAATAAAAATATTTCTTTCTATATATATATATATATATATATATATATATATATACATGAGTCACTTAAGGCCGACCACCCGAATAACTTCCTTATTTTTTATTATAGAAACCAATATTTTAAATAAAAGTTGTAGGGTTTCAAAAGATCTATTTATTTGCGCTATGAGTTTGACCTTGAGTGGCATTGCCAAAGTCAGAACAAGATCACTTTGATTTTTTTAAATGGAACACTTCTTTTCTTATTACATATTCTTGTAGTTTATTTCGAGAGCTTTCTAAAACACTGCATAATTTTTATTTTTCTTTAAGCAGTTTCCGAGTTATGAGGCATAAAGTATCTTAAAAAATATTCATTTTACGATGACTTTACCTTAATAATTTTATGCACAAAATAATAGGAATCAATTGGTGTTGTCTTTACAGCAGTAAACTTTTCCCTAACAGAATACTCGCGGTTTTATCCATTCAATCAAACTGAAATGTTATGATCTGGGTTAAGACATTAATTTCACTCCTTTTATTTGTTGTTCTCTTAGCTCTTATCTATTCAATCAAACTGAAATGTTATGATCTGGGTTAAGACATTAATTTCACTCCTTTTATTTGTTGTCCTCTTAGCTCTTATCCGCTGTTTTTTTATCCACGCTGCCAGTTTCTTTAAATATTTCTATCACTTCAGAAAAAGTACAACGCGATGGACAAGTACAATCAGGAAATATATTTCTGTACGTGCGTAGTTTTCCTCGTACATTGACTTTGTATTGTACATAAAATGTAAACAAACTCTTATATGAAATGTGATTTTGAGTGCCTAATGTAAACAATCCGCATGTAGTCTCCGATGTGCCTTACACTGTGCTAGTCTGAATTGTAACAGTGAAGAGAATTATTTTTGCTTTTCTATTATACCTTCTTACTCAAAAAAAGAGAAAATTGACATGATTTTTATTTATGATGAAAGTGATCAATGTACGCGGGACGCATATACAGAAACAAATTTCCTGATCGCACTTGTCCATCGCGTTCTACTTTTTCTGAAGTGTAGGCGAGAGGGGTTTTTCAGGATCTCGATCGGGAGATTGTATTGTCAGGATAGACCAAGGCTGAATATATATTCCAACGTTAAATATGTATATGTATATTGTTTATTGCGAGACTTATACATCTTCAAGTCGTGCCGTGAACGATTTCAATCCTTTCGAGCTGTGTGTTACAATTTCGCCGTCCGTTCCGAGTTCAAGAGAAGAAGCGTCTGTTCAAATGTTCAAGAGAAGAAGCGTCTCGATTCCCAAAAGTCGGCATATATATATCCGGTGTTAAAAATCTTCCCACCCGAAATATCGGACCAATCAGCGTTACCTTCGTTTATCGAGCAGAGATGTGTTTTCGGTTTCTCAGATAGACAAAGGATCGCTCAGAACGCGTTCGAAAATAAATAATACCCGGTAAGAGGTCGACAAACAAAACACGGAGATCAGATAATCTCATTGTCAATCAAAGTCTCTATCTCTCTTATGAGAGTTTATAAGAAAATGCCCACAGCTCGGCCATTCCTGACTTTTTGACCGTCCCGGTCAACGTTATTATCAAATTACAAAACACAATATAAATAAAATTCCTTTACAAAATCATACATAATCATGCACGTATATACGGGCGCATTTGATCCGGTGCTAGTATTCCTGCATAAGGCCGCTGCGTTAGCTGGAACCCGTCGACGTCGGCGATGACGTAACGATCGCAATCCAGAATTTTTTTCACGATATACGGGCCTTTATATTTTGGTATTAGTTTTCTATTTATTCCGGCCGCCGTTTCTACATTACGTATTTCAACGTAATCGCCAACGCTATAATTACGGGCCGCTTTTCTGCGCAAATTATATCGCTCGGCGCCCTTCCGCTGCGCTTCGCATATCTTTTCGCACGCCTTATCACGAAGTAAGTCAAGATTTCGCTCGGTATCTTTGTCTAATATTTCTCGCAGAGAATCATTTAATTTACCCCTTTGCCCAAGACCAAATAACAAACGAGCGGGGGTCTCGCCTGTCGCTCTACAAATAGTATTGTTAATAGAAAATTCTACTTGGTCTAATACGCGATCCCATTTAGACGGCGTTTCACTAAGTTTTGCCAACATGGGCGTTATTATTTCATTAAACCGCTCAGCCTGCCCGTTCGCCCTTGGCGTTCTTACGGCCGTCAATACATGTTCGATCGCTAGGGCCTTCAAGTATTCGCTTAATGTTTCGGACGTGAAACATGTTCCTCGGTCGGATATCAAACGACTCAGTCTGCTGTAAGATCGAAAATACTCGCTGAGGTGCTTTACTATTTCCTCCGTATTCGTGGTTTGGCAGGGATAAAGTCTTATAAACTTCGTGAATGCGGTACACTAACCCGTCTCTCAATTCATAATATTTTACGTCATCTTTTTCGAGTTTTCTCTGTATCTCCCAAATCGCTTCGTCGCGGTCTTGACAAACAGATAAAGTTTTCTCAAATGTACTGCCTTCAAGCACGAGTACACTATGGCAGGGACTTAGTGCATCGACGTGGCCCATTTGCCTCCCCGGACGATGAACGATCTCATAGTTATAATTTTGCAAAAATAATGCTCACCGTGAAATCCGAGGATTAACGTCTTTTTTATTGAGAGTTAACCGAAAACTATCACAATCCGTAATAATCCTGAATTTTCGTCCAACAAGATATATATGGAATCTCTTTAGCGCGTATACTACCGCGAGGCACTCGAGTTCGAAGCTGTGATACTTCGATTTGACGGGTGTGGTTCGCTGGCTCCAAAAAGAGATCGGACGCCACAAATTGTCGCTTTGTTTTTGGAGCAGTATACCGCCGAACCCGCTAGCACTGGCGTCACAGTGCAACTCAGTCTCCGCCTGGGGTGCATAAATTGC